ACTAGACATCGCGTACACGAAACGCGATCACAGCTTTCCTTCGCTGTAGATTCCAACACAAAAGACACTATTCCGTTCCTTGCAAATGCTCTGCAAACGATGGCTGTTCCAGAAGGGAAAATACTTCTAACAAACCAATGAAGAAAGAGGCTTAAGATCAAAGCCCATTCTGATGTTTCTCAATTGAACCATGTACGCATGAAGAGGCTGCATTCACGCATGCTTGGCTACATCTTGGCATGCATATTCAGCCGCGGGGCACAGAAGTATAGTTAATTCATGCAACGCGTACACGGATGTGCGTTGTGTTGGCCGATCGCGATGGCACAGCGTTATAGACGCTGTGCAATGTGGTTGTGCATTTGGACATGGAAACAATTTTTGCAGGCAACATTGCTGCTGCACGACTATTGCGACTCATATTGACCCTGAACGCGCTCATGGGGCTCTTTTGTATTCTGCACGCTGTTTCCGGATTGCGATACTGTTTCATGCCGATGATTCTTGGGATTGCAATAAGGACGCGGTGGAACATATGGAATTCCAATGCCTAACTTGAAGAGGTCCTTCAATCATTCTCTCACATGCACCAGCTGAACGTAGACACAATAATAGACATACAACATACGAGAAGGTTCTTTGTTGTCTGTACAGTAGACTATCGCCATCTGAAGAAAGTGAACAAATCACGGAAGGCAGCTTGTTTGCTCAGGGAACATCGGCAATTTGGAAAACATTCGCACCGAGAAAGGATCACTGCGTCACATGCGAAGAGGGCAGTCTTTCAGGCTGATCACATCTGGGGACATCTCAAATTGCAAACGCCAGAGCTGCCATTCACTGCAGATTGGGGATGCGGCCGAAAAAATGCGTTGATGATGGCTGGTGTCCAGTTTGGACTAATAATGGGCAGAGGCTCAAAGGGGTCCGAGAGCTGATCAAGTGCAATGTAAGAAACGGTGTGCTGAAATTGCAAATGTTCCGTGGCTAATTTACCATGCACAGAACTGTTTTTCCTCCGACAATGCTTCCCAGGTGAGCAACAGGAGAAGTAAAATGGATGGAAAAACGTCTTGCGGCATGTTACAGCTTTTAATTGTGAGGAAAATATTTTGGAATAGGCTTTTTGCTCATTAAACAATTGAACTCGGCATATAAAAAATTCCTTGCCTTTCAAGTTTCAGTGCCTTACGTGATTTAGAACGCTAAGATTTTCAGCATTTCGTCATGTTGGCCATACTGGAATTTAAGATGGCTAGCCATATGGTTTGTCAGACATGTCAAATCAATCCCGTTATTGAACTCAGCATGGCAAAATGCTCTTGTGTAGCCAAATTTCAGCGCCGCAGGTCATTTAGAACCAAAGATAGTAATGTTCAATGTTTCGGCATGTCGGCCATACTGGAATCAAAATGGCTGCCATATGGTTTGTCAGACATGTCAAATCAATCCATTATTGAACTCAGCATGTCAAAATGCTCTTGTGTAACCAAATATAAGCGCCACATGTCATTTAGAACCCAAGATAGTAAGTTCAATTTTTCTTCATGGTGGCCATATTGGAATTCAAAATGGCTGCCATATGGTTTTGTCAGACATTTCAAATTAATTCATAATTAAACCCTGCATGTCGAAATGCCCTTGTGTACTAAGTTTCAGCGCCACAGGTCATTTAGAACCAAGATAGCATATTCAATGTTTCGTTATCGCGCCATATTGGAATTCAAGATGGCGGCCGATCCAATGGTCAGACTCTTGGATCCGGCAATTTTCAACTCAGGCATGTCAAAATACCCCTGTATGCAAAATTTCACACTTTCTGCCGGATGTGAACATTTCAACCTATTTTTGTTACATATCGCCCTACTATATTATATATCTGCCTATTCTAACCTATATTATATCTGCACGTTGTCTAGTATAACTCGCCCCTGCGTGTTACGAGGTATAGGATCACCGAATTTGCACGCAATTTTCCAAGAACACTCTTGATTGTTCAGCTGTAAAATCACTACCTGTACATTCGCATGTAAAAGCAGCTCTGCAGCGTTCTCGTTAGGAGCATTCATGTGCGTTCCTTGCCGTAAAGCAAACCCATGGAACTTTCATGTGCGTTCACGTGATTTTTGCTGTCTCGACATGGACTCGTCTTTCGAATAATTACAAACGCGTGATTAGAATCATTTCGACGAGTAAAAACTATGGGATGTGTCAAAATTCAAACGTTCAATTGATCGATTGATTGTTCAATTGAACAGTCGTTTAATCATTCAAACGTTCAATTGATCGATTGATTGATCAATTGAACAGTCGTCTAATCATTCAAACGTTCATTGATCGATTGATTGTTCAACATGCACGTACACGCGGGTACACGCACGTACACGCAGGTACACGCACGTACACGCAGATACGCGCACATACACGCGGGTACACGCACGTAACACGCGGGTACATGCAGATACACGGCACGTACACAGGTACACCAGGTCACGCACGTCACGCAGATACGCGCACGAACACGCGGGTATACAATCAATCGATCAATTGAACGTTTGAATTTTGACACACGCCACGGCCCGCGTTTGCGAGAGAGAGAGAGAGAGAAAGAGAGAGAGAGAGAGAGAGAGAGAGAGAGAGAGAGAGAGAGAGAGAGAGCGAGAGCGAAGAGCGAGAGTGAGAGAGAGAGAGAGAGAGAGAGAGACAGAAGAGAGCCGCGCGAGAGCGAGAGTGAGAGGAGAGAGAGACGAGAGAAGAAGAGAGAGAAGAGAGAGAGAGAGAGAGAGAGAGAGAGAGAGATAGTAGAGGGTGAGTGAGAGAGAGGACGAGAGAGAGAGATCAAGAGAAAGAGAGAGAGAGAGAGAGAGAGCGAGAGAGAGCGAGAGAGAGAGAGAGCGAGAGAAAGAGAGCGAGAGAGAGAGAGCGAGAGAGAGAGAGAGAGAGCGAGAGAGCGAGAGAGCGCGAGAAGAGAGAGAGAGCTTCTTCTTCTTCTTCTTCTTCTTCTTCTGCTGCTGCTGCTGCTGCTGTATAAATTGGAGTGTAATTTTACTCGTGCGCAAACATCCTTTGATCGCTTCGGTGGAATATCAGCGAACTGATTAATGCATATGCTCATGATCATGTCATTCACCGAGCACAGGGCCACGACAAATACATAGCTGATGGCTCATCGAACGATAGCATCTATTCAGACGTTATTCAATCTACGCATTGATGCGACTGGTTTTTGTATTTTTATTCAGGCTCGTTCGGAAATCCTGATGCTAAGCGCTTGTACGACGATCTCCTGAGTGGATACAACCGTCTGACGAGACCCGTGCCCAACCACACCTCCTGCGTCGCCGTCAAGCTAGGACTAAAGCTGACGCAACTCATCGATGTGGTGCGTCAAACGCTAACCGACAGTGACGCCGACCATGCTGTGACCGTCTGACGCTTTCCTTGTGGTGTGCGTCAGACGTTAACATTGTAGTGAGGTTAACCCTGAGTGCATGCCTAACGTTAATCTGACAGTGACGCTAACATTGTAGTGAGGTTAACCCTGAGTGACTAACGTTAATCTGACAGTGACGCTAACACTGTAGTGAGGTTAACCCTGAGTGACTAACGTTAATCTGACAGTGACGCTAACAACAGGTAGTGATTTTACAGCTGAACAATCAAGAGTGTTCTTGGAAAATTGCGTGCAAATTCGGTGATCCTATACCTCGTAACACGCAGGGGGAGTTATACTAGACAACGTGCAGATATAGTAGGGCAGATATGTAACAAAAATAGGTCGAAATGTTCACATCCGGCAGAAAGTGTGAAATTTTGCATACAGGGGTATTTTGACATGCTGAGTTCGAAAATTGCCGGATCCAAGAGGTCTGACCATTGGATCGGCCGCCATCTTGAATTCCAATATGGCCGCGATAACGAAACATTGAATATTGCTATCTTGGGTTCTAAATGACCTGTGGCGCTGAAACTTAGTACACAAGGGCATTTCGACATGCAGGGTTTAATAATGAATTAATTTGAAATGTCTGACAAAACCATATGGCAGCCATTTTGAATTCCAATATGGCCACCATGAAGAAAAATTGAACATTACTATCTTGGGTTCTAAATGACATGTGGCGCTTATATTTGGTACACAAGAGCATTTTGACATGCTGAGTTCAATAATGGATTGATTTGACATGTCTGACAAACCATATGGCAGCCATTTTGAATTCCAGTATGGCCGACATGCCGAAACATTGAACATTACTATCTTGGGTTCTAAATGACCTGCGGCGCTGAAATTTGGTACACAAGAGCATTTTGCCATGCTGAGTTCAATAACGGATTGATTTGACATGTCTGACAAACCATATGGCAGCCATCTTAAATTCCAGTATGGCCAACATGACGAAATGCTGAAAATCTTAGGTTCTAAATCACGTAAGGCACTGAAACTTGAAAGGCAAGGAATTTTTTATATGCCGAGTTCAATTGTTTAATAGAGCAAAAAGCCTATTCCAAAATATTTTCCTCACCAATTGAAAGCTGTAACATGCCGCAAGACGTTTTCCATCCATTTTACTTCTCCTGTTGCTCACCTGGGAAGCATTGTCCGGAGGAAAAACAGTTCTGTGCATGGTAGATTAGCCACGGAACATTTGCAATTTCCAGCACACCGTTTCTTACATTTGCACTTGATCAGCTCTCGGCACCCCTTTGACGCCTCTGCCATTATTGTCCAAACTGGACACCAGCCATCATCAGCATTTTTCGCCCATCCCCAATCTGCAGGTGAAGGCAGCTCTGGGTTTGCAATTTGAGACTGTCCCCAGATGTGATCAGCCTGAAAGACTGCCCTCTTCGCATGTTGACGCAGTGACTCCTTTCTCGGTGGAATGTTTTCCAATTGCCGATTTCCCTGAGCAAACAGCTGCTTCCGTGCTTTGTTCACTTTCTTCAGAGGCGAAGTTCTACTGTACAGAACAACAAAGAACCTCTCTATGTTGTTCATGTCATCATTTGTTACTTCAGCTGGTGCATGTGAGAGATGATTGAAGACCTCCTTCAAGTTAGGCATGGAATTCCATATGTTCCACGCGGTCCTTTTGCCAATCCCAGATATGGCAGAAACAGTATCGCATCCGGAAACAGCGTGCAGAAACAAAAGGCCCCATGAGCGTTCAGGGCCAATGTGAGTCGCAATAGTGTGAGCAGCAATGTGCCTGAAATTGTTTCCATGTCCAAATGCCAACCACATTGCACAGCCGTCCATAACGCTTGCCATCGCGATCGCCAACACAACCACATCCGTGTCCGTTGCATGAATTACTATACTTCTGTGCCCCCGCTGATATCCCTGCCAAG